CTGTAGTTCCAGCTACTTGGGAGGCAGAGGCAAGAGAATCTCCCTAGCCCAAGAGCTGGAGGTTGCTGTGAGCTGTGACGCCACAGCACTCTACCAAGGGCAACAAAGTGAGACTCTGTCTCAATAAATAAATAAATAAATAAATAAATAAAAGAGCAGAGTTAGGGAAGTGCAGAGAGCAGAGTTGGGGAAGCCAGAAAGCAAGGCCTCACCTGCAGGAGTAGCTCCCGGCTCTGGGAATAATTATCCTCCTCAGAGAAAATCTGGCAGAGGCTGGAAAAGACTCTGAGGCTGTCCCTGAAGGAGGAAGAAGAGTGGCCCTGAGGACAGATTTGGCTCAGCTAAGCCTTCTTCCCAGCCCTCTGAGGAATCCTCACCCCACAGCTCAGTGCTCCATCTTCCCTACCTGTTTGCTTCCCCCCAGGCTGCCCGAAGCCTGTGGATGGGGCTGGACTGCAGAGCTGACACAACAGCATAAACTGAAGAGAAGTTTCGGAGCAGCCGGCACTCCTGTGAGGTGCAGAAAGGAAGCTAAGACTTTGAGAGCCCTCTCTACACCACAGCCCTCAACAGGGCAATCCTCTCTTGCCTCTGCCACTCGGATCCACTTCTCCAGTAGCCGGGCCCTCTGCGGGGGGCAGAGTGGCCGTATAGTTACCTCCTCCGGCCCCTCTCCAGTTGGGGTGGCCCCCAGGACAGAGCTAACCACTGCCCCTGCCACCTTGTTAAACTGTGTGACAGTAGCTCTGACAGATGGGCAGAGGTGGGAATGTCCTGGCCGATCTCTGTGTCCCCAAAGGCCCCCCAGGCACTGAGAGGGGACCAGATTGAGAAACAGCTCCTGCAGGACAGAGGGCAGAAGTTAAAGTTCATAGTCAAGTGACGTTAGCCTTCCAGTATCAGGGATCTGAGGGTTTCAGGTGGCCAAGGAACCAGAGGGGCACAGGTTTGAAGGGTAACAATCAAGGAGCAAAGGGGAAAGGTCAAAATGGGAGATGAAGGAGACTGGGAGCTGGATCAAGAAGGACTGGAAGCAAGGGAAGGATCTGGAGTCAAGGAGAGGTTAGTAAGGGGTCGGGGGCAAGGGGCTCAGAGGTCAGGGTCTCACCGCATCTAGCAGGGTCAGCTGTTCGGCCAAGTGGTCAGCGAGGAACACCAGGACATCCGTGGGGTCAGCAGGGGGATCGCCGGGGAGGGCCAGGGGCTTAGGAAGGTCGGGGGCCTGGGAGTCCACCCGGGACCGGAGATTGTGGATGAGGTCAGCGCTGCCCCCCCCAACACCCTCCCCTGCTGCATACCCTGTCCGAAGTAAGAAGCTCTCAAGCCGGTCAAGTTGAACCTTGACCTCAGAGCAAAAATCCTCAGGGTGAGAGGCCAGCCAGGTTGACAATACAGAGATGGCTACCCTGGGAGAAGGGCAATCAGTCAAGGGTCAGAGACAAAGTTGTAGCATAGGCAGAAGAAACTATGAGACTGAGATCAGGGCTCACTCACCCTGTTGTCCTCTGTCGTTCATCAGCAGGATGAGATTCAAGGGCTTCCAGCCTGGGAAGGAGAAAAGAATCTGTCCATTTTTCCCAAACCCCCCAGTGGCTTTGACTATTCTGGTGTGATGTTGGGGCTTTAGGAAGTCCAGACACCTCCATGACCCTTAGTCCCTTATGACCCTGACCTGTCAGCCATAAGCCCTAGCAGGGCAGGTGTGGAGGTGAAAGCCCGATGGGTGGCCAGGAAGGCTGACATGAAGGTCACGTCGATCCCTGATGTCCGGGCATCCAGAAGATGCCTAACCAGGGCTTCCAGAGTGCCAGCCCGGAGCCGACGGGAGGAACGAGGGGGAGGCATAGGGGCCTGGAGGACACGGAGAGATGGTCATTAACCCCTTCTTCAACTCTGCCCTTAGATTTCTGGGGACAGTCCCACTCCTAGGAAATGATCCAGGGTCATTTTGTTGATATCCAAAAAGGGCAAAAGACTTGCCCTACATCACATAGCAGAGTCCAGGACCCTAGACCTCCAACCTAGCACCCTGGCCAGAAAATCAGCCAGAGGAAGGGGAACTAGGTGAAGGGACAGAGGTGAGAATCCAAAGTCATGATCTCACCAAGGGATCAAGAGGCCGATACTGGCGGCTTGTGACAGTAAAGGTGGCACCATCTTCCTCCTCATCCCAGACAGACACAGGGGCCTGGAGGACCAAGGAAGGGAAAGTCAAGACAGTTCCACATCAACCCCCACTGCCCCCAGCCCTCACTCACCCTATGCCCTGTTCCTCCCTTTGTACCCCTCACCTGTGGTGGCGGGGGATAGTACCAACGAGTGCGAGGTGTGGGGGGGGCTGGTGACCCCAGGTCTCCCTCACTGGGGCCCAGACAGCCCCCCCCAAGCCGCCTTAGGGCCCGATGGAGTCGAGGGGGTTGCAGTGAGGGGGTGGATGAAGTGCAGAAACCCTGATTCTGGGTACCCCCCAAGCCCCTTTCCCCCAGAGCTGAACCCCAACACAACAAGAGAAGCAGGGTGCAAAGGGCAGGACAGACCAGAGACAGGCAGAGAGCCAGAGGCAGCGACCTCAGAAGCTGAAACCTCAGTCACAGGCACAGCCACATACCCCGCCCTCCCTCGCAAGGACCCAACAAGCCCAGAGATTAGTCCTTCCCCTCAGGCCTCTTTCCACTCTGGTCCCACAGGTAAGGCCTCTACTATCTCAGCTCTGGGGACCCCCGTGAAGGTGGAAGCGCCAATCCCAGTACAAGAAGGGGAAGGGGAAGTGGGGATAGTGTGTGTGGTGGGGGGGGGTAGACTAAGAGGGTCACGTGGCTCCAGCCCCTCCCCCGACCGATCCCGAAAAACCAGCCCTGCCAGTCATCCTGCCCTCACCCAGTGTCTGGACCCAGGAGTTCAGGACCTCTGATCCCCAAATCCAACTTATGGCCCCAAATCCTGCTACTGGCCATCACCATTAGTCCCTAAGGAAAGCAGGTGACCACTCCACTTAGAATAGGATCGTCCCTCCAGGTCCCAGAACCTTAGCTTCCTGGCCTCTACCCAGCACCAGGCTAGGGGAGGGGAAGGGAGGGGTCATGAAATCTGAGGGTTCCCTCCCTAATGCCTGAGTCAGAGGAGCTGGTTACTGTGGAAACAAACCCCTCCCCGCCAAACAAAAACAAGGAGGGAGACAGGGACCAGAACAAAACTGCTCAGAGAGCCAAGCATATTTAAGCAGGCACAGGCAGAGAGGACCAGAGAGACCCGAAGGGACAGCCAGCCAGACTTTCCTGGGAGGAACAGGACAGGTTCCTGAGAGCCAGTCCTGAGTCACACTGACAGAGAACCACAGAGACGCCAGGACTCCCCACATAAGGGAGACATGCAGACACAAGAGAGAGGCGCGGGAGGAACTGGGGCAGGGAGGAAGAGTTGTAGGGACCCAGAGACAAGAGAAAGGTGGAGATCTCCGAAATATGTACACCCCCTACCTCCCAACACCTCTCACCTCTTCTTCTTCCTCCTCCTCCTCTTTCTCCTGCCCCCCGCCCACGACCCGGCCATCTGGGCCCCCACCCTCTTCAGGGTCTCGGCTTCGGAAGCTGCTCAGCACGACTCCCCCGGGGGGGCTCGTGTCCAAAAGCAGCCGCAGGGGCCGCGGGAGCATGGCTGAGTGAAGCAATCAGCGGGGTCGGGCCATGGGGGGCGCCTGGGGAGAGACGGGGGTGGGGGTGGGGATGCAGAGTCAGCCGGGCGCAGGGCAGCCGGGCAGGGAAGGGACACAGGTAAGTGTCTAGAAAACTGGGAGTTATGCATGAAGGCCGGGGTAGGGGAACAACACAGGGGTGGAATATAGGGGCCCTTAGCGCATTTGGGAAATGGAGGGTCACGAGTACAGGATCGGGCAGGGTCACAAGGTGTTCAGGCTCTGACCTGCTCGGGAGGGGTGGGGGCAGCGTGGGTCCCAGGCCGCTGTTCCTGACGGTCTCCAGTCCCTGACAGAGTCCCCTCCCGGGCCTTTCCGCAACCCCCTGTACCCCCTCCCGCCGGGCTCCCTGGGCCCTCCCGCCCTTTCCGCTCCCCCCCGCGTCCGCCCGCTCAGAGAGCAAGAGCCAAAAGGGGAAGGAAGTGAGGACAAGAGCCAGGGTCGCGAGCTAGGGGAGCGCTGGACGCCCAGGGGCCGGAGCCCAGGAGACAGGGTCCCCAGCTCCACTGTCCTCTGCCCCTACCCCCGGGATTCTGGAGCCCACGTCGCCCCGCAGTGAATGGAGATAAAGGTTCCAGTCACCAGCCTCCGGGGGAGGGCAGGTGCAGAATTTGACATTTCCCTCCCCAACAAGAACAAGGCTAAAATTCCCGCGGGACGCGTTTTACGGGAGGAGAGACCCTGTCGCTCCACCCCGCGGGGTTACACTCCCCACCCACGAGTGTAGTCGACAGAAATCCAGTCCGGCTTTTCTGAGCTGCTCTCTGTTCCAGCCTACACGCGAGGGGGCGGGGCAGGAAGCAGCCACATCCGCTTCCAGATTCGGCGCTCCGGGACTTCCGGCGCAGAGGTCGCGATCTCAGCTCCGGTAAGATGCTCTTGATTCCGAGAGAGACCCCTGTTATGTGGCGTCCTATGCGTCATTAGTGGCAACCGACCCTAAACTTTCAACTGGAGATCAAATGTCTTTGGGTCGTTTGCGAGGTCGGCCTCAGTAGAAGGGGCCAGAGCGATTGGAAGTTCTATTGTGCTTGGAAAGGGAGTACAATGAAAGACACGGTTGGAAGCACTGTGACACAACTTTATTCCCACACGATTGGGCCTGTTCACCCATCTGTCTGACCGGCCGTCCTGAAGCTGCGTCGCCGCCTCCTTCATCCAACATCCAGGAGCTATTTGATTAGCGCCCTCCAGTGGGCGCCAAGGCCCCTGCCGGTGCGGAGATAGGCAGTGGACGGGCTAGTCCTTTTCCTCAAGAACCCAGTCAGGGAATGGGGACAGGCTTTTAAAAAATGACTCGCACAATCACTTAAATACAACTGCGTGTCTGGGATCCAGGGAGAGGGAAGATGGACTAGTCAGAGGGAACAGAGCGCTGGGACCCAGAGGCAGGTGGGAGGCATTAGCTTCACTGGAGGAAAGGAATTATCTGTCGGTGCGATAAGCATTGAGAAGAGGGCCGGGGTAGGGGGGAACCATATAGGGCTAGAGAGGTAGGCAGCGGCTCTGGCACGGGGGAACACATAGGCTGCGGCAAAAAAAAAAAAAAAAAAAAAAAATTTGATTTGGCCCAAGAGCACCTGTAGCTCGAGTGTAGTCTCTGTCCCAAAGGTCTATGAGGCTATTTCAGGGAGTATGCGAGATTAGACTTGTTATAACAAAATTAAGGTATTCTTTGCCCTTTTTGTTGTCATTTTCTTAAGAGTGTATGATTGGCTTTTCCAGAAGCTTCATGGTATGTATTGACACCATGATTTTCACAATGAATAGAATTGTGCCTGTGTTTCAATTTTTTCTCACTTTTAAGTTCTAGTATGATCAGTGCTGATAGTTATAACCTACATAAGCACAAGCTCTTTAGAATCCTTGATAATTTTTTTTTTTTGAGACGGAGTCTAACTATGTCCCCTTTGGTAGAGTCCCGTGGCGTCACAGCTCACAGCAACCTCTAACTCTTGGGTTTAAGCGATTCTCCTGCCTCAGCCTCCCAAGCAGCTGGGACCACAGATGCCCGCCACAATGCCTGCCTATTTTATTGTTGTTATTGCAGTTGTCATTGTTTTAGCTGGCCCAGGCCGGGTTCAAACCTGCCACCCCAGGTGTATGTGGCCAGCACCCTACTCACTGAGCTATGTGCGCCGCCTCCTTGATACTTTTTAAGAGATCCCAAGACCAAAAATTCTGAGACCCATGGCCCTGGAGCTCTAAGAAGGTGAAAGCCATAAGGTTTCTGTCTTTTTAAAAAGACTCAGTGGCGGGGGTGGCAGGGCAGTGGCTCACACCTATATTCCTAATACTCTGGGAGGCTGAGGCAGGTGGATCACCTGAGCTTAGGAGTTTGAGACAAGCATGGGCAATAGCAAGAGACCCCATCTCTAATAAAAATAGAAGAAAAAGCCTGGTGTTGTGGCGGGCACCTCTAGTCCCAGCTACTCAGGAGGCTGAGGCAAAGGGATCACTTGAGCCCAAGAGTTTGAGGTTGTTGTGAGCTAGGATGAAAAAAGCTACTCAGTGGAGGGAAATTTGAAGTAGTAGGAGCAGATGATAGGGTGCTAGTTTGGGGGAACTATTACAGTAGCTGTAGGCAGAGATGATGGTGACTTCCACAGGATGGTGGTGAGTACCCTCACTTTGTTTTCTGGAAGAGAAATAAGAAAGAGATGAGGAATTTGAGTGTAGAAGGCAGGTGAAGTACCTTCCAGAAACATACTACCCATCAGAAAGTGGGAGAGGGATGGAGCTAACATCCTCTGTACTTTCTGCTGTCAGTGTGCTGAGTGCTTTAAATCTCGCGTCTTCTTTAAGGAGATGCACGTTTTGTTTTAACTCTCCTAACAGTCCTCTGAGGCTCCACTATCCAACATGGTAGCCACCACCCACATGTAGCTGTTGAACATGTGAAATGTGTCTAGTCCCAATTGAGATGTGCTGCTTTTGAAAGCATAGGATGGAAAAAAGATTAAAATTTCTTATATTGTTTACATGTTAAAATAACAATATTTTAGATAACAGGTTGAACATCCCTGATCCAAAACACTCTGTGGTCTCAAGCATTTCAGGTAAGGGATATCTACCCTATATTTGATTATAGTATAAATTTTACTTTTTTTTTACAGAGTCTCACTTTATTGCCCTCGATAGAGTGCTGTGGTGTCACACAGCTCACAGCAACTTCCAACTCCTGGGCTTAGGTGATTCTCTTGTCTCAGCCTCCCAAGTAGGTGGGACTATAGGCGCCTGCCGCAACGCCCGGCTATTTTTTTGTTGCAGTTTTGCCAGGGCTGGGTTTGAACCCACCACTCTCGGTATAAGGGGCCAGCGCCCCACCCACTGAGCCATAGGAGCCGCCCCTAAACAATATTTTATTTTATTTATTTTATTTACTTATTTTTTTGAAACAGAGCCTTAAGCTGTCACCCTGGGTACAGTGCCGCGGCATCACAGCTCACAGCAACCTCCAACTCCTGGGCTCAAGCAATTCTCCTGCCTCTGCCTCCCAAGTAGCTGGGACTACAGGTGCCCAACACAATGCCCGGCTATTTTTTGGTTGTAGCCGTCATTGTTGTTTGGTGGGCCCGGGCTGGATTTGAACCTGCCAGCTCAGGTTTATGTGGCTGGTGCCTTAGCCGTTTGAGCCACAGGCGCCAAGCCCTAAACAATGTTTTAAATTCTGTAAGTCCTGGCTGGGCACGGTGGCTCATGACTGTAATCCTAGCACTCTGGGAGGCTGAGGCAGGTAGACTGCCTGAGCACCACAGGTTTGAGACCAGCCTGCACCAGAGTGAGATCTCCTCTCTAAAAATAGCTAGGCATCGTGGCAGCCTACTTGGAAGGCTGAGGCAAGAGAATCGCTTAAGCCCAAGAGTTTGAGGTTGCTGTGAGCTGTGACGCCACAGCACTCTACTGAGGGTAACAAAGTGAGACTCTGTCTCCAAAAATAAAATAATAAAATAAATAAATAAAATCCCTACATCCAAGGAAACTGAAATATAAGCAGCTGTTCAAGGGGTCCTACATTTAGGACATAGCAGCAGGATTTGCCCCAGGTCTGTGTGAACCCCATCACACCAGCAGCCTCCCTCCGTGGTGATGATATGGGGAGATGGTAAAATGAAAAGGGAAAAATAAGGCGAGGTGTTAGCGCTGTTACCTTCTCCTTTGAATCCTTGCTGGACAGGTAGGCAGCTGTGAGGAAAGATTGAAAAGGGATGGGATTCAACATTGGTAGAGGAATAGGGCAGAAAAATGGGTGTCAGGCTTTTGGGAGTAGGCCAGGAACTGTAGGTCCACTGTCAGGGTGGGGCTCACACTCACCAACCCAGGCCAGCCCCTTGATGAGTCCAAGTAGGAGAAAGGAGGACAAGAAAAGGCCTACTCCGTCCTCGAGGGAGGGTCCTGAGAGGCCTGCAGGTGAAAGGGGCAAGAGTGAGCTCCATGTCTTCCCTGGCACCATCTCAGGCTCCAAAGCACTCCTAGCTCTTACCTGCCACCTCCAGAGTGACCTCAGCTCTGCGCCCTGAGGCAGGAAGGCTGGAGTGGTGGACTCGACAGGTGTAGTGTGCCCCATGCTGCTCAGCAGTGACTGGGGGTGGCCGCAAGTACCCGGAGAGGCTAACAGAGCCATCAGAATGGTGGTGCAAGGCAGAGAGCCACCTCTGTCCCTCAATCTTCTGAGAGCCACCCTTTGTGCCACCCCGGAGCTCCCACTCTACCTCCAGGCCCTCAGAAGGGTAGAAATGGGACACATGGCAGGCCAACTCCGGAGGAGCCTCCCCAGGGGCAGCCCATACAAGAGGTGATGGTGTCATGGACACTCTGGGAGGCTCTGGGGAAAGAGTAAGAAGGCAGCATGAGGAAATCTTCCCTTAGAAACCCTCAGTTCGCCCTATGGCTTCCCCCAAACTGAGTGAGGTTTGGGTTTCTTCTCCTGGGATGGAGAACCCACTATCTCTCCATTGGTTAGAAATCCTCATGCCAAAGCCCCCAGGGACCCTCCACCCTCCTACTGCCCCCTCCTGACTCCTGGGATCCCCATCTCCACTCACCCAGCACCCTCTTCATCATCCCTTCCCCATCCTGGTATTCCCGTAATCCAGTGCCCACCCTCTACCCAAAGAGACCACTGTCCTCTCACTCACTGTACACAGCAAGCTCCAGGGTGACCTGTCCTTGCAGGTATGGCAGGTGTACAGTGGCCAGATAGGTGCCCTCCTGAAAGGGCCGCACTGCAGGCAGCCAGAAGGTCCCATTCCCAGTCCATGGGCCCCATCGGTCATCATCATCCCAAGCAGCAAATGCCACTGCCCCCTCTTGGGCTGCTGGCATCTGTCCATCCAGTCCAGGAGTTGCAGCCAGGAGCAGATGCCCCTTACCCAGGTGTTGGCGTCGCCACTCCAGCCCAAAAGGAGGAGGACCTGGATCCAGAGATGAGGCAGCCTCAGGGCTGGGGGGCATGTAGCTGAAGCTCAGGTCCAGTATAGCATCTTGTCCCAGTCTTACTCGAGGGACAGGGGTGTGAGTGAGGACAGTCAGCACCACTAGGGAAGATAAGGGGATGAGAGAGTGGAAGAGGCATGAGGGAGAGAAAGAAAGAGAAAAAGAAAATAGAAAAATGGAGTTATAGAAAAGACTGAACTCCAATTCACCCACCCCTCAGAGACACCTCCTTTTATACCACATATACTGGTATACTGTTTTAGCTGGGCCAGCTAAAACAACAATAACAACTGCAACAACAACAAAAAAATAGCCAGCAAATGCAATCAGTGTAACCTGGTTTCTTGTACCCTCAATGAATCCCCAACAACAACAAAAAAAATCAGCCAGACATTATGGCAGATGCCTGTAGTTCCAGCTATTTGCGAGGCTGAGGCAAGAGAATCACTTGAGCCCAAGAGTTTGAGGTTGCTGTGAGCTGTGACGCCAC